GGGGAGGGGGGGGAGGAGAGAAAAAGAGGCAGGGGGTAGATAAAATTCAAAGGGAAAGCTGAGCCAGTATGTAACAGGCAAGTTTGTAATTATAGAAAAGCAATAAATCTGAGAGGAAAAATTGGTTGAATGTTTCCTTGTTTTTTGTTTCTATGCCACACTTCACAGTTTGTGGGACTCTAGCCAAATCTGGAATTGGAGAAGAATGAGGAGATCCACTTTTTTTTTTGGTCCCACTGTCTCCATAGTGTCTTTTCATAGCTGTGATTGATTGATTTAATTGCCAAGTAGCTTTGCTTGGGATAATTCTGTAATCTCAGCTTCTTATCCTGTGAAGTATCACTAAGCTTCTAATTATTTCAGAGGGCGAAAACAATAAATTGGAGAAACGCTAGCCAGCACATTTGTAATGTAGTGCGTGTAGGACGGGGCGGAATACTTTGCTAAAGCAGGCCTGCATGCCTATAGCAGGAGGAATGTGAGGATTGGGAAAGGTTGTGCAAGGCCAAATCAGTCACCTGCTGATCCTGGGGCCTTGTAGCAATGCTACACTGGAAACAGCTTCAGGTGAGTGCAGTTATTTCACTGTCTATTGCAAGATAAACATGTTGATTGTCACAGGAGGGGCCAGCCCAGCATTCAGGAACCTAAAAGGAGTACAGAATGTGGCAGGGCATTTCCTCAGTGACACAGGGTTGTGTAAGCATATCACACCTGGCCACTGAATTTTAAATCAAGTTTAAAAAAGTCTCAGTCCTTAACCTCAAAGCACTGCATAGGCTTGGCTCAGGACAGCTAAAAATTGCCTAAGGCTCTGGGACAAATGCTGTGGTCAACAAGTCTGTTCCTTTTGGCAAAATGGTTCCTTACAAACCTCAGCTTCCAGAGTTCAGGACCCAGTTCTATGACCTTGTCTTTTCTAGCAAACTCACAGCACCCAGGTATTATTTAAAAGCAAAACAAAAAAAATCTTAATAAAGAAACTTCACTCTGCACACTCTTCTCTCCCTGGAGAGAGGATGTGAACAAATGTGACAGAGGTGCAGTCACTGTTCTTAATGTGCTAAGGTACTTTGGTGATAAGTGTGATTAATGAACTAATAGAGTACAAAATGGGGGGTATGCTGAGATGTTAGGTAATTGGGGAGGGCTAAAGGGCTGATCTTGCTCCCACTGTCAGAACCGACACTGATTTTTCATGGCCTGGGGTTTACACCTAAGAATTTGTCTATATTCCCCATGTAACAGCATGGCTGTAGCAGTGCTGTAACATGGACAGTGTAGTCACGCTTTGTCACTGGGGAAAGTTCTCATGGCAATAAAAAAAACCCACCTTGAATGAATGGTGGTAACTTTATCACCGGGAGTGTGGCTCCCAGCAATAAAGTGCTTCTTATATAGGTGCTTTTTAGCACTACAACTTTTGTGTTTCACACCTCTTGAATGACTAAAGTATTACCACTGATAGTGGTAGTGTAGCCAGAGCCTAAGAAAGACCAAGGATCACTGAGGGGTTGCGGGGGAGAGAAATATTTTGGGGGAAATTTTCTGAGAGGTAGCTGTGTTAGGCTGTTTCAGCAAAAACAACAAGGAGGCCAGTGGCACTTTAAAGACTAACATTTATTAGCATTTTAGAGAATCCGCTTTCATGAGCTACAATGCACTTCCTTAGATGCTGAAGTAAATTGTAGCTAATGAAAGTTTATGTTCTAATGCCTAGTCTATACTAGACTAGGCAGGTCAGTTTAAGGTACGCAACTCCAGCTACGCAGAGTCAGCGTAAGTCAAGCAGGGGTGGTGTCCCTGTGCTCCTTTCAGCAGTAGGAGTACTGGATGCCCGTTAGAGTGAATGCTGTAAGATTGACCACCAGAGTGTCTATCTTCTCGTAAGTATAGATGTGCTCTAATAAAGTTGTTAGTCTTTAAAGTGCCACTGGACTCCTTGTTATTTAGGGGGGAAGATTGTGGGTTTCAGTCTGAGGCACAATGTGTCAAATGGAGCCTGTTACAGAGCCCTGTAATAGGACTTTTGCAATGTGGTCTGCACAGAAGTGTGATTATTAACATGGTGATGTGTTTTTTCTAGGCTTCTTGTGATTCCCATCATGTATTTGCTTACTTAGGTTCAAGCCTGCCTTAAAGACACAGCCCCACACGGTGCATGACAGGAAGCTGCACTGTCATGCAGACTCTCTCTCAGGAATGTAAGAAGAGTACGCCTGCTGCCACTAGCCACAGACTGCAAACCACTCCCCAGCAGGGCCACAATCACACCTCCGCTAGGCTCTTTGATTCTGCAGCTGCAACACTGACAAGTGTGTTGCTATGTGAGAGAGGAGAAGCTAGCTCCACCCAGAGCTGTTTTGGCTATTCAGGACTAAAATGTTTCTTGTCACCCCCACACAATTCTGAAACACCTCCCTTCACAAAGACAATTGTATTAAAACCCAACCCCTGTGGTAATCCTCTTTCAGAGCAGAACTGCAGCTAGATATCACAGAATGTCACAGGGCAATGTTTATATTAAAAATATGCTTGTCTGACAGCAGAGGCAGGCTCCTGGGCCCTACTTAATGTTTGCTGAGGTTCTGAAATTGGCCATGTTGTTAGAGATCTAAATTACTAATGCCATTTATAATCCTAAACTGGTCTGTAGCGTCTACAGATTTCAATTGTTCCCTTTCATTTAAAGTATATGCTGATGAGTCATGATACTATATTAACCACCAGCAGCACATATGATCACTATTTTGATTCACAAGTGATTTAGGTTCGGCTTCAGTAAAGGTAACATGACTAGCCTATTATAAATGGACAGAGTGCCCTCTGCTGTTTGGTAATAATGTGGCTCATCCAGTGTTTCTATACACCCATTTTTCCTTTCTATGCAAAACAGATGTATTTGCATATGGGACCTTCAAGCTAGGTACTTCAACCCAGAAATAAAAGTAGCCTTATTTTCAGAGGTGCTAAGCACTCAGCGCTCTTATTGATCCTACATACTTTGGTTACAGGATTTGCAACATTAGATGACTGTTGATCCATGCAGTCTAGAGACCTGCCTTAATCCACGTGCAATATACCTGATGCTGTAAGAAAACTGAAAAATCCTGCATGTACAGCACCTCACCTATCGTGGGCATTATCAGAGACACACTGGCCTCAATTTTCAAATCTGGATACCTAGAGTTAGGCACCTAAATAGAATTGAGCACAGTTTCACTGACCAATGTAGTTAAAGATGTTTAAAGGAATTTATAACATTTTTTAAGCCCTCACCAGTCAGAGAAATGTTGTGGAGCCCTGCTAACAACCATACTGCCATATGGCAAAGATTGCTAAAATTGAGTGTGCGTAATAGGCTGCTGATTGTCACAGGCTGTATAGAACCCCATTAACTAAATGACTCATGGTGTAAGTTATTTCTTTTTAGTATTTCTTCTTTGTAGCCTAATTCCATGCACTTTGCCAGAAAAGTGCAGAGGACATCCTTTAAAAACATGGTTTCTTTTTTCATAAAATGATCCTTATACACATTACCTATAGTTGATCTTGTACAGGGTTGCAGAGGAAACGGATATTAACTTTCTTTAAAGATGAAATATGCTAATAAGCATGCACTTCTTGCTTGTTTTGTCTAACTTTGTAATGTCACTTGAGCTGCTAAGATGAGTCAACTCTCTGAGTGTGTTAATTTGCACAGCTCCAGTTTACACAAGCATTGGATTAATTACTGGCTGATTAACTTGTCTTAAAAAGGAAGTGAATGTTTGCCATTCTTTTACTATGATCTGTTAAATATCAATGGGAACATAAAATAAACAAGTATGTTTCAGGAGAAAAAAATCAATTTCCAACAAATAGTTACTATATTTTGTAATTTTTTTTTACATGAAATGAGACATCCAAATACAGCTAAGTTCCATTAATACATACTTAAACACTAAAAGCTAACCAACTCCCCAAATTAACCCTCTGCACCCTCCTAATCCTTTAAAAGTTAGACATAGATTCTTAGATTTTAACATTGTGCAGTATTCCCTGATCCATACACCGTCAGTTACACACCCATGCAACTTTGTACAATAATATTGACTATAAAGTTGAAACATTTTTACTTCTTTGGCTTTACTGAGGTTCAAATTAACCATGTAGAAAAAATATAAAAATCAAGTTTAAAATTTCAAACTAATTGAAAAGTACAATTAAAAATCACAATTATAATTCCTTATTTAAAAACCTGTGTTGGCAGAGTCCCTTTGATTTACCATTGTACACATTGACATTAAAACAAGCGCTACAGAATAAATGTTCAAAGCATTGCTAAGGGTTGGCAGCTGAATAGCCCCTCCTAAACCACAAATACACACATAGGCTGTGTCTAGACTGGCCAGTTTTTCCAGAAAATCAGATGCTTTTCCGGAAAAACTTGCCAGCTGTCTACATTGGCCTCTTGAATTTCCGCAAAAGCACTGACTTCCTACTGTAAGAAATCAATGCTTTTCGCAGAAATGCTATGCTGCTCCCGTTCGGGCAAAAGTCCCTTTTGCGCAAAAGGGCCAGTGTAGACCGCTGAGGTTTGTTTTCCGCAAAAAAGCCCCAATCACGAAAATGGCAACGGGGGCTTTTTTGCGGAAAAGCGCATCTAGATTGGCACGGATGCTTTTCTGCAAAGCACTTTTTGCGGAAAAGCATCCGTGCCAATCTAGACGCTCTTTTCTGAAAATGTTTTTAACGGAAAACTTTTCCGTTAAAAGCATTTCCGGAAAATCATGCCAGTCTAGACGTAGCCACAGGGTACATGTACATTGAAGAGATATTTCGGGATATCAGAGGTATCCCAGAAAAACTCTACCGTGTTCAGGGAACGTGTTTGCTCTTCTACTTTTTTTGCGGAAGAGCAAATACGCTCTTTCGGGGAGCCCTGTATACCTCATTCTACAAGGAATAAGGCTCCTCTGAATGTGGAGGCTTTTCTGCCATTTGACCCCATCTAGACGGTGCCAAATGGTGGAAAAGTCTCTTCTGGAAAAGCATTTGGAAAAAAGCAAGTATCAACCTAACCATACTGTTTGAAAGGGTTTTTCTAAAGTCATCAGAATAAAAATAATCTGCATTCTTTACACCAGAATGACACTGGGATTCTTTGCAATTTTTGTGAGGGACCCTGGGCCAAATTCTATCATGCCTACTCAGGGCTTCCTCTTCCCAGGTTATGCAATGGTGCTGAAAGAAAGTGGTGTACTCAAAGCATTGGCACAGCACATTTGAAGGTTGCTCAGCCCCTGAAAAATCCCAGTGTTCTGCACATTGAGGAAACAAATGTAACACGTTTGACCATATGAGAAAATCTCTACACCTGTCCAGAATGGAGCACTGATGAGAGAAGGGAGGAGAATGAGACTGGTACAGCCTGTGATTACTTTTGGCTGGGAAATGCAGCATGTGCTTGCAGTCTGGTAAATAAAATGTGTGCTCAGCCCTTTTCAAAGATGTCAGTGACTCCTGTTGCCATTCGGGAGCAATAGCTCATTTAAAAGCAGTAGTTAGAACAGGGGTGGGGAACCTTTTTTGGGTTGGGGGCAACTGACCAACAGAAAAATCTGTTGGAGTCCACATACCTCCCTGATGTGGCCCCTGACTGAGAAGGCGAAAGACACTCCCCACATTTCCCTCACACACCAGAACCTGGGGAGGGGCAGGCTAGTAGATTGTGTGTTCCAGCCCCACAGGTGGTGCAGCTGGGGGCTGGAGGGGAGACCTGAGCCTTTGAAGCGACATCCAGGCAAGCTGGGGGCTGCATCTGGCCCCTGGGCCTGAGGTTCACCACCCCTGAGTTACAGGAATCTGAACAGGGATAACATGAGGCCAGCAGTGACTGAGGGCTCTCTAGAAACACAACCAACTGTGCCTGGACTCATGATGAGCTATGTTCCTATTGCATTCATTCAAACCTATTGGCTGTGTCTAGACTGGCCAGTTTTTCCGGAAAATCAGCCGCTTTTCTGGAAAAACTTGCCAGCTGTCTACACTGGCCGCTTGAATTTCCGCAAAAGCACTGACGATCTCATGTAAGATTGTCAGTGTTTTTGCGGAAATACTATGCTGCTCCTGTTTAGGCAAAAGTCCTTTTGCGCAAAAGGGCCAGTGTAGACAGCCCAGATTTGTTTTCTGCAAAAAAGCCCTGATCACGAAAATGGCGATCGGGGCTTTTTTGTGGAAAAGCGTGTCTAGATTGGCACGGATGCTTTTCCACAAAAAGTGCTTTTGTGGAAAAGCGTCCGTGCCAATCTAGATGCTCTGTTCCAAAAATGCTTTTAACGGAAAACTTTTCCGTTAAAAGCATTTCCGGAAAATCATGCCAGTCTAGACGTAGCCACAGTGCCTTCTCTGCTCGGAAGCTACCCATTTCAAGGACCATGTGTAACAAAGTATAGTTTTTACGTTGGCCCTCAGCATTCTCATCCGCACTCTGCAGGACAGAGTTCTCCTTCCTCCCTGATTCAGACTGCAATGAAAGTTTTGTACTAGCAAGCAGGGGCAGATGATCATTTTGCGGGGCCCAAAGCAGTCCAATTTCGCAGGGCCCCCCTTTGACACGGCACATGTGTGGTAGTGCCACGGCGCATGCGCGGGGCTTCTTGAAGCGCGGGGCCCGGGGCAGCCGCCCTGCTCTCCCTGCCCTATATCCGCCCCTGCTAGCAAGCACTAGAGGACTGTCACTTTAGGTAAATTAGGGCCCAATCCTGCCACTGGTTCCATAACCAAGTTCAGCGGTTCCTTAGGGGCCAAAGTCTGCTCTCACTTATGCTGGTGTAAAAAAGCAGAATTTGGCCCACTGATATGTTTTAGCTTGAAGATTGTCTGTTAACGTGAAACTGATCTACAGTTTGTTTGAAGAAGGCATTTTTTGAACCAAACCAACTGATCACTTCACACAGTTGTTGTCTAACAACCCAACACGCCATCAAGAAGTTATGTTACTACATTCCCACCGCATTTAACCTTTCCAGTGCTAAGAAATGCTTTGTTACTCAGAAAACATACAAGTGCTGGGGAATGGGTGATGACAGCTGCTCAATATTGTATTACAATGTAATGCTTAAAAATGCTAGAGAATAGTTGTGCCCTGGTTGCTGTTCTGTTTGTAACAGAGGCTTCCACTGATAGATCAGTTTTTCCATTTGTTGGAATCCCAGCCGAGGAACCAGCCTGTGAACGTAGGGGGTTCGTGTCCTTGCTTCACAATAACAAGTGGAGTCCCCTTATCTCTTCCAGAAGGATCTGTCTCAATATAGCGTTTGGCTAAAGACATAATAAAACATGCAAAATATCATTCAATTCACATAGGGGAAAAATTTATCCTCAGCAAAATAAATCAAAATAAATAAAATTTTACAGCGATCCAGCTTCATTATATAAAATGATCAAATAGCTGTTGCTTTCTCTCAGCTGCCAGCCAAGATTTTCAGAAATGTCATCTCAGATGTCAGTTGGAAAAACCCCAAGATACAGGCACAGTGGTCTTTGCCCTGGTCACTTGGGTCCTACCATATAATTGTTTTTTAGCTCCAGAATGGGTGAAGGCCTCAGGTAATACTTCTGGAATATAGATCCTTCACTAATGGTTTTCCCAAGGAAGAGTCTTACGGCTGAACCCAATAGTTTTCCTCTGTATCACTAAGACTATGTCTAGACTACAGGCTTCTTTCAGAAGAAGCTTTTCTGAAAGAGATCTTCTGAAAAAACGTCTTCCTAAAGAGAGCGTCTACACAGCAAAAGCGCGTCCACACTGTATGTAAGCTGTGATTACTATGCATGGAGTGGCCACCAGGGCACCTGTGCTCTTTCCTCTTCTTGCGAAAGAACTCCCTCTTCCCCGTCCACACACGCCTTTTTCTGAAAGAGCTCTTTCACAAATAGGCATCTTCCTCATAGAAAGAGGTTTACCAGTGTTGGAAAAACTCCTCTGTTCTTTTGATTTTTTTTTTTTTTTGGAAAGAACGTGATTGCAGTGTGGATGTAAGTGAAGTTTTTTTTTGGAAAAATGGCTATTTTTCCAAAAAATCTCTGCAGTGTAGACATACCCTAGGTGATGATAGTAAAGGTCTGAAAACAAGCTAGGTAACTGTGGCTGCGATAGGTAAGGGTATGCCGGCATTTTCAGTATAAATCTTGGTATGAGAACTCAGATGGGTTAATTCACATCATAGTTGACACGTGTAAATTCTGGGTGTAGAATTTAGCTCATTTTGATACAATTAGAGAAGGGCAACAATGAGCAGACTTGAAAGCTTTTTCTTCTTCTTTTTTTTTCTTTATCTATACATGATTTAGGGCAGGGCAGGGAACCTCCAGCCCACAGGCTCCATGCGCTTCAGAAGGATTAGCCACTGGCATGCTGCAAGATGGTTTGTTTACCGAATGTCCACAGGTATGGAGCTCTGCAGCTCCTGGTGGTGTGATTCGACATTCCTATGGGATCTATGGGAAGTGGTGGTGGTGGCCTGGCCTGCAGGTTCCTCAGCCCTGGTTTAGGGTCACATATAGTAGCACCAGGACGATGAATTTCATTCTTTATAGAAAGTTACATTTGAGAAAATAGAGTTGAGTTTTCTGGTGACCATTGTACTGTTTAAAATGTCATACAAAGATATGGGAATTAGCTAATTATGGAACCTTCACAGTTAATTGCTACCCAAGCTCACTAACTCTCTTAAACACCATTCTTAGTATAATTAAATTGTTGACCATTTAACATCTCCCTTTTCATTCATTTAATCCCCACTCAACCCATTTCAAGCAGCATTTTGTCTAATGCAATTCTTACCAGATTTCACAGATTCATTTCGCTCAGTTTCATTAGCATCTTTACCAATCCAGACAAACACCTGTAAATAAAAGATTTAAAAGTTTATTGTTATGGGGATTGGCCCAGATTTTAATCTTATTTACACCACTGAAATCTGAAGTAATTCCATTGACTTCATTAGGAGAAAAAGCAGGCATTAATATAGTGACTCTGAGGTTACACAGGCATAAATGAGATCAGAATCTGGCCCATCACACTTAAAGATACAAGTTTTCTACAGACCCAGTTCTAGGTTTCAAAATCCCCCCACATCATGGACTATAGCAAATCCAGTGCCAAATCCTGTAATTCTAGGGACATTCATTAGTCTCTCTCTCTTCACAAATTTGTCCTAGTGGCTGGCACTTCAAATGCTGAAATCCCTCCTTGCAACTTGTAGAGATCAAAGGCAGGGCCATGTATTCTGCACGCATTACTAGTAAGCAGGTATTTTTTACTGTGTGATAAAAAATAAGAGAAACATCTTTACTTTTTGTGTTTATTGGGTCAAATTCAGCCATATTCGGCACTTCCTGCACACTGTGAAGCAGTGCTCCATAACAACTCTTTGTATAGGAGTGTGGATGGGGATTAGGGTGTAAGGGCATGATGGATCCAAAAGCCAAACCCATGTGTTTTGTTAGGCACAGCTGGTGTGGATACCACCCATTGGCTGCAGCAATAGCTGAGGAGGAACTGTGCTGGTTTTCCATAAATTGGGAGAAAGGAGCAAACTTCTTTTTCTAAGGAACTTCACAGGGATTGGAGAAAACAGATCAGTTTGCAAGGTGCTCAGCAGAAGCCTGTATTCCAGTCAGGTTTTTTTCTTCCACATTGACATGTTTTTCTGGAGGCGTCTATAGGTTTAGAAAGGTATTTTTTTACTATTATTTTGATGACATTAAGCAGAATTGAATAATAAAGCCCAAAACACTATTGAGCTAATTTGCAGTGCATTGTGGTGGCAGATAGTCAAAGTCAAACAGCTTCCATTAACATTAATGGGAAATACAACTGTAATCTTGCATGATGGCTTGAAAACATAGTGGATATTCATACTTGCATGTCAAGTGGCTGAAGAGAAAACATAGCTCTATTTTCTTCTTCAGTTATAACTTCAAAAAAGCAAAATCCCATCATGCCTCACAACATGATATGTTTTCATTTAATTAGTTTCACCTCTTTACTCTGTAAGATAATTCTCTTACTGTCTTCTCACGGGTTGTCTATCTGTACATTGTTAGTAGTAAATCCTTTTAGTCACCACATAAAGCATTGTAAAGTACATAGTTTACCTGCTCCCAAGTATCTAACAACATGACATCATCTTCAGCTAAATCATCCTGAGTGAATTCTCCTGGGACCTCCTCAATCTAAAATGGAGAATAAAATTGGTAATGTATGTCCATTCAAGATTTTCCATCATGCTTAAGTTTGGACAAATATGAGACTTTTAAAAGGGATGAATCTAAAAACAGTCATGCATTCCTTGTTCCTTTGCAGATGAAGGTTCAAAACTCATTTTGATCAATGAGTGAAATGCAGTAGACAGGTATGAACAAATCAGACCTCTGGCCATCTTTCCATTTCACACAGTTGGGAATTGTGCTCAAGAGAGGCGAAGATTTCAAATAGTAGCAGTGAGTATTGTAAATCGAGACTGAAATACACTGGCAGACAGGGAATTTTGCTTAGTGCCTCCCTGCACTAAATGCCTGCAGAGAGCAAACTTTCAGCTTATATGTTCATGGGCATTAACATTTACCAGGTACCACAAAACAGAGTAAGTGAATGAAGAGAATAGCTTTGATGTGTAGTCCATGGGCTCAGTCCTGAAAGTGGCAAAACACCCACTGACTTAAAAAATGGAATTTTTCACTTGACCAAAGAATTTGGGGTTGAGCCCCAACAGAATCAGGCTATGTCAACATGGTAGGGTTTTTGCACAAGTCGTTTTTTGTAGAAGAGTTCTTGCGTAAAAACTTCTTGCGCAAACGCACGTCCACACCTCAAAGTGCATGCGCTTTGCGCAAGAGGGTGTCCACAATGCATGGACACTCTTGCACAAGAAAGTTCTGATTGCCATTCATAGAATGACCATCAGATCACGTGTGCTTTTTCTGATAGGCTTTTTTAGTGCAAGAAATCCCTGCAGAGCATCCACACCTGCCTTTTTGTGCAAGAGCTGTAGTGCAAAAAGGAGTTATGCCTCGTAGAAGGAAGTATACCTACACTGCAAAAAGCCCTCTGTTCTGTTGATTGACTGTAGATTTTCTTGTGCAAAAACACGCTTGATGTGTGGACGCTCCATGGGTTTTTGCGCAAAAAAGGCCTTTTTGGTGCAAAACCATTGTAGCGTAGACATAGCCTCAGAGGCTACTTCTTCAGAGACATTACAGGAAAGCTGTATTTCGGTTTGTATCAAGCAGGATAGGTAATAGTTCAGTTCAGCTAGTGGTCAGGCTGCCTTTATTTGATGTGATTGAAGGGCTCTGTCTGTGGTTGGCCCTGAGGTAATGCTGAAGGAAAGAGAAGGCAGAAGGTGCAAAGAACCTCTCCCTTCCCTCTCTTGGGAGCATGTTCAGGAGCTAGGAATGATCAGCTCCTTTTGATTGTGGAAGATGAGCACTGAAGTGAGGCCAGGTCCTATGGAATTTAATGGAAGATGGAAACCTTGGCTATAGTTTTTTTTTTTTTTTTTAAAACACAAGAACAACAAAAACAAACCCATCTTGTAGACCTGTACAGCAAATTCTATTCCTCTCTAGATTTCCATAGGAGAGTCTGAAAAGGCTACAGGAAGGACATACTACTTCACTACATTTCATAAGATTATAGTCCTTTCCCAAGAAACTGATCGGTTTCTTTTTTAAATTGAATGAGCCCTTTTTGCAAGAGGAGAAGCTCCACTGTCTCCCTGCTAGTCAGTAGAATTCACCCAAGAGAGTCATCCTAGCCCAGCGCAGTGCAGTGCTGGTACTCTCAAAACTCAATGTGTCAGTGTGTGTCAGTCACAAAACCGGTTCAGAAAACGCCCGCTGGGAAGGCGCATCTCCTTACCTCAGCATTCAGCACCTCAAAAGGCACAATTACAACCTCTCTAGGGGAAAATTCTGGCTGCCTCCAGCACTCTGGGTTAATTAAGGTTCCCTTTCCCTGCCACTTCTATCACACTTTTGAAAGATCCAGGTATAATACAGACCTCCTATTTGCTTGAAATGCTGTGGCCTAGAGGCTCAGCTAGCATATGTGGCAGTTCTGGGATCCATGAAAACATGGCAAGGGAGGTTTGATCAAACTCTTATTTGTCACTGTACCTTAGCTGCAGGTAGCAGATACCAGCAGGAGAACTGGCTACGTCCTTCAGAAGCAGGGCTCTCCCCAGAACTTCCTAAGGCATCCATGCCTGCGTCTGGCCCTATGTCTTCAAAGCACCACTCCTCCCCGTAGTTTTCCACTGCCACCACCTCTTCAGGGAGCAGCAGTGGAAGTCATGATTTTCAGTTTTTAAATAAACCTACTAGCATGCAAATCTGGTTTTGACACATTCATCTTTTCCGTCAACCATTTCTTGTCCCACCATGCTGAGCTGTATATCACAAAATGAGAAGGAAATAATCTTGAACTGTCACTGGCCTCCAGCTGTCACCGGTTTGTAATGCTACAGGGTTAGCCCAGACACTCTACACCATTTCATCTTGTGCTGCTTAATAAGCAATTGGGATAGTAGATTAGTAATACACAGAGATACCATCAATATCAATAGAAGCTTCAGCAGGTATTCCATTTAGTGTCTATTGCTGCCCAATGTGTCAGAGTAGAGAATGAACAGAGGGGACAGTATCCATCATATACTTACAACAAACCTGCCAGTCTTATTGGAACAGCCATAGAGACGAGGAGGGTGGTCTTCAGATTCAGTTAGCAGCTGTCCTGAAGTCTGGTATTTTTTCTGACCTCCAAGAACTCTCCAGAATTCCTCTGGAATATATAGGATATAATCTACTTGGCATCAAGGTTTATATTTTCTTCTTTAACTTGGTGGATATTGTTTCAAAACTCTCCAAACAATGTAATGTTGGCCCAGCCCATAATGTGTAAGTATTTTCTTTAACAGTACAGTTTTTCACATGGTTTATAAAAGCCCATACAGATATTCCTGTGATTTCACACCTTACTCTCTCTCTCTCTCTCTGTTTTAATCACTCAGTATATGGAAAGGACTACATTCTGTTGCTCCCACTGCAACTCAATTGACTTCTATTGGGTAGCATCGCTTATAAATCAGCTCAGATTCTGGACAAATACCCTTACTGCAAAATACAGAGCCAGCTTTTAAAGGAAAGAGGAGTGTGACTGCTTTGTCCACAACAGTGTGTATTTGGAAACCCCCCGTTTGTACGCATATTTAGAATCCAATCCTGTGTGGTACTGTGCACCCTCTGTTTCCTTTGAGCTGCCAAATGCCCCAGTATTTACCTGGCTCCTGGCCCTCTACAATCCTAGCTGTCTGACATTTCAGAATGCTGGCAACATACTGAGCTCCTTTTTCCTCTTCTTTGCTTGCTCCTTTTCCTACCCACGTGTAGCCAGAGTTTGTTGGCAGTTTCAAAACAAAAACATCATTGGAGTTCAATGAAGTTGCATCAACATCAACCTAGAGCAAGAGCGAGATTGTTTAATTCTTCTGATTTTTAAATAACCCACATATTCACCTTTCTGAACATTGATGTCAAGCTGTAGTACAGATTGGATCTTCCTGAATGGAATGAACAGGGAGTTTGCCCGACCAGGGGATTTCAGTGTTCCCCTGTTGACTGCTGCCCCACTCATGGGCTCCCCTCCCAGCTCTGGAGCTCCCAAGGCTGGACTCCACGCCCTGCTGCGCACCCCACTGCCACCAGAGGTTCTTTGATTGGGGCCAGCCTTGCTGCCGGGGCCAGGATTGCTTCTGCCAGAGGTTCCCTGGCTGGAGCCAGGGCCACCCAACCACTGCTTCTCATGCTGCCACCAGGAGGTTCTCCCGCCGTTGCTCGGCCCAGCCGCTGCTCACGCAGTCAAGGGTCCTCAGCCCCTGTGGGAACCCTACCTGGCTCCTGCTCCTGGTCTCCAGTGGCTCTTTGGTCCTGCAACATCCATAACCCTGCCAGGCCACATGTTACCGGACCAGAGAGTCCTGGATTTGGGAGCTTCAACCTGTACTGATGCAAACCAGCGTAATTGCACTACGTGCCGTGGTGTTTCTTTAGATTTACACTGCAATAGCTTAAGGTACATCTACACCAGAGCTGAAACTGTAACTTCCCTCACAGGTAGACATAAAAACTCCAGTTTTTATCCAGCCAGCGCACTAAAAATAGCAGTGTAGCCATGGTGGCACCCGACTATGATCCTCTCCAAGACCCTGGGTTTATACTGAGGCAGCTAGCATGCCCTGTTGCAGCAACACTACTGTTTTCAGTGAAGTTGAATAAAAATTAACATGTATATATGACCCAAGCTGAAAATTACACCTCTACCTCCAGCATAGATGTACCCATAATATTTCATTTGACACTGGTAATTGGCCTGGGAGAGGAATTTTAACTAGCTGCCTAGGGTTAGGAAGTCAAGGTGGATTTGGTAATATTTTTTCCTGGACTGACTTGTATTGATGAGAAAGATGAGCTTTTAAGCTTACACAGAGCTCTTATTCAGGTCTGTGTTCTAGTAGGAAAGAAACTCTCCATATGCTCAGTTTATTCTTTAATTATCCACTATGGGATTTTTGCAACTTCCTCTAGTACTGGCCATTGTCAGAAATCTCATACAGGACTAGACCTGGTATGGCATCTGATCTGGTCCAGAATGGGAGCTCCTATGTTCCTACTCATACTTTAACTATCAAACAGAAATCATTTAAAATCACACTTGCCAGTCTGGTGCTCATTACAACTGTACTATGCAACATGGGAAATATTTTACTGAACAGGTGATTTTTACCTCCACAATCCTGGTGATCAATGCCAGGTTCCGGCGAATCTGAAAGAGACGAGTGGGGGGAGGGGGCTTCTGACCTCCTTTTTTGGATGTTCCATCTTTGTAGACAATGAGTGGTTTGTCTCTGAACAAGCTCAGCAAATGTGCAGGTTCTTTCCCTTGGGAGACCCGAATCTGTAAAGAATATTAGAATGCAGTAAAGGAAAAGAAATTAAAGGATTTCACATTATTTTGGGCATGACTGAAGACCAAGGTGATGATAGTTGAGAGGGAAAGTAAGTTAGGATAAATTACTAAAGGCAAGCTGTCTCAGCTGAGCTAAGCACACACAGTTTCAGAGACATTATGGCTGCAGCATTTGTAAGCAGTTTGTCACTCACGTTAACACTCCGACACACTCAGACTAATATTTCTAACAGAACACTAAGCTTGGGATTTGTACATTCAGTTTCTAAGTGATTAAAACTCTGACAGTTGCCATCTACTTTAATAAGAAAATATTGCTTTTTGAAAAACATCGCCACTTCACAGAGGTTTTACACAGGCATTTAATTCTCCTGGAAGTCTCTGGTTCTGAAGGTTAGGGGATTTGTATTTAAATGAAGTAGGAAAAATGGGTTTTTCTTCATGACCATTATTTCTAGGTCTGTACATCTGCATGAGGATGAAAAAGAGAGCATAAATACTCCAGGTGATGGATTACTAGGCTGTCAATATCAACTTGTGCAGTGTATATGGGAAAAGATGGTATTTAAAACTGCACTGGCAAATCTCTTTGATTTTCAGGGCAATTTAATATAACATATTTATTGATTATAGTACAGTAGGATTCTCTGTTTCTTCTCTGTTTTTTCTTCAACAAAAAGATGACAACTAAAGGCTATGAACTCCCCACAGATTTTTTTTGCTGTTTTGCTTCTCTCTTGCAGGATACAAGAGCAGCATATCTTAAGCATGATTTGAAGTATGCCACACACATGCATCAGAGGAATGTATGATAGAGGACAGATGAGAAGGAAGGAGAAAAGAAAAGGGAGGGAAGATAATTGGCTAAAATGTTTCTTTAAACAAAGAACACTACAGAAGAGAAGAGAGTGAAAAAACAGCAAAGGACACCACTTGATACAGATGGGATGGGAAAGAAAAACTCATTATTTCAGATGCCAGAAACACATAGCGCTAGTTGGTGTCATAAATCTGCAGAGCAACCAGTTCAGCCAGCAGAGGGAGATTATATGTCCAGGAGCAGGCCTGATCCATTCTATCACAAACTGCACCATACATAGAATAGAGAACCCTAATCTCTGGTCCTGAGCCTTCTGCTTTGAGCCCTAGTACATCAGCTAACCAGGTGGGTTCTCTGCCTTTGGGGCCAGATGTCAGATGGTCTCCCTTCCCCCTGACAATAGCTTCCCCCCACCCAAGAAAAGGAATAGTGGGAGGTAAAGGAGGAGACCTGAGAAGTAAGTGTTTATCTGAGAGGGAGAGAAAGAAGGAGTCTCAATACCAGCCCAGCACAACACCCAGCACTTCCTCCAGTAGCAGCAAAGAAGCAAACCACCCAGCACTGCCTACTGGAGGAAAAGTGGATGAGGAATTGCTGACTGCTGCTGTGTGCGGCTGAGAATTCTCTAGTGGATAAGGTGTGTGGCTGCAAGTCAGGGCAAAGGAGCAAGAGGCCACCTTATTATCCTGTTTGGGTTAGCCACAGCACCCATACTTGAGCAGGGAAGAGCAGAGGCACTGTCCACCCGCTTCTCTGGTGCAGGCGAGTAGGGAGAGGACAGGCATGGCTGGGGAATGGGAAGAGCCTTGACATATTGGTGTGTGCATCGGCTCAAGTGCAGAGGGGGAAGTAATCAGTGCCAACAAAACAGCGAGCTGCTCAGGGAAGAAGAAACAGATTGTACTAAGTGGAGCAGGGCACCCCTTACTCCGGCTGGATTGGGGGGCTGCAGTCCAACACAAGACAGTCATTTTAAATTAGAAAAACACTGTGATCCCGCCAGAGGTAGGGTGCCAGTCTCAGCCTGCCTTTCCTTTGGCTTCTGTAGTGTTGCAAGTGGCAGAAATGGTGGGCCCTCTCCCACTTTGATGTCTCAGTGCTAGATAGGCAGGTGCAGTCAAGGAGTGAGACAACGGAATGAAATCAATTGCACCTGCTGCTATTTGTGGATTAAAAATCATGGCAATCATCTGCAGGTGCAAAAAGAGAGGCTACGCTTTAAAAATCTGCCCCCAAAGAATCTAACATGGCAAGTAAATACTATGAAATAGAATAATTTCTCATTTAACAATATAGATATGTTTCAGAAAATGATCGTGTTAAGTGAAAACGTGTTATGAGGGGTCAATTTTCCCATTGAAAATAATGGAAAAGGTGGGGGTTGCATTTCAAGTGGTGGTGTCTGTTGGGACGGGGACATAAGGTTGGGGGAGAAAGGGGACTGGGTGGGGAGATGTTTGACTCTGGGAAAGGGAAGGGGAAAAGAGGGGAGGTGGATTGGGTTGGGAGTATGCCCCTGTGACGGGTCTGCCGGGACCTGCATTGCATCCAGCGAGGGGGGGTTGCCAGGGAACGGTGCAGCGAGCGGCGAACCCTCCGCTGCTTTGCAGGGAAGTGGGGGAAGCCCCACGCAGCCGCCACCGACTGGACGGCTTGGGAAATTGTGTTATTCCGGGGACGGTTGTGTAATTAAAAAATGTTCCCTAAAAAAAAAATCGTGCTATCGCGAAAACATGTTAAGCGGGCACGTGTTAAATGAGGAATTACTGTACAGGGTTGTAACTGAAGTTTCAGAGTTTAAGTGTCATCTGGACTGTAGTGCCATCTAGTGTCTAAAAAGTTGGTTACACTGGAAAATACTACAAAATATGCTAAATATTTTACATAATCAGATTTGGCATATATATGTTGAAAGTAATTAGCATTTAAATATTACAGCTAATGCAATTATATGGATCTATTTGTGGTTAATTGAAGAAAATTCAATTAACTATAGAATCACTGATTATTTAAAGTGCATTTAAGAGTGTTTCAACTAACTAATAGATTGACAGATTTTAACCCTCACTTAATATGATGTAAATAATCAACTGCTATTGATTTAACATCTAACACTATCCCCTTCAATCTAAATTAATTATAAACTTGAGAAAAATGAGGGACTTTAACACTTACAGAATGGGAGTCAAGCACGTTCCTTCTCTAATTCCTGATCTAGCAACCTCCATTCTCTCCCCAGTTCTCTTCCCCCTCCATCTCTTTTCCCAAAGGATAGCCCACCCATCTCATAAGCTGCATAGTATTACTGACAAAGGGGAAGGCCTGTCCCAGTGGGCAGTCGTCTAACACTCTCGCCCGCTATGCAATATTCCCTCTAATTTCTTCCATCCATGCACAGAATACATTTTGTTACATGTACCAAGGCATGTTGTGTGTCCCAAGGGTTGGTTCTGAGGCCAGTTTTGTTCAACATCTTTATTAATGATCTGGATGAGGGAGGGGTTGCACTCTTAGCAAGTTTGCCGAAGACACTAAGCTAGGGGGAGACGTAGATACGCTATAGGGTAGGGATAGGGTCCAGAGACCTAGACAAATTGGAGGATCGGGAGAAAAGAAATCTGATGAGGCTCAACAAGGGCAAACAAGTCCTGCACTTGGGATGCAAGAATCCCATGCACTGCTACAGGCTGGGGACTAGCTGGCTAAGCAACAGTTTTGCAGAAAAGGACCTGGGGATTACAGTGGATGAGAAGCTGGATATGAGTCAACAGTGTGCCCTTGTAGCCAAGAAGGCTAACATCATATAGGGGTGCATTTATAGGAGTATTGCCAGCAGATCTAGGGAAGTCATTATTCCCCTTTATTCAGCACTTATGAGGCCACATCTGGAGTATTGAGTGCAGTTCTGGGCCCCTCATTACAAAAAGGATGTGGATACATTTGGGCTGGAGTACTTAATTTATGAGGAGAAACTGAGGGATTTGGGCTTATTTAGTCTACAGAAAAGAAGTGAGGACAGATTTGATAGCAGCCTTCAACTACCTGAAGGGGGGTTCCAAAGAGGGTGGAGAGAGGCTGTTCTCAGTGCTGACAGATGACAGAACAAGGAGCAATGGTCTCAAGTTTCAGTGGGGGAGGTCTAGGTTGGATATTAGGAAAACCTATTTCATTAGGGTGGTGGTGAAACATTGGAATGAGTTACCTAGGGAGGTGGTGGAATTTCCATCCCTAGAGGTTTTTAAGCCCTGGCTGTACAAAGCCATGGATGGAATGATTTAGTTGAGATTGGTTCTGCTTTTAACAGAGGGTTGGACTTGATGACCGCCTGAGGTCTCTTCCAACCCAAGGGTCCACGTTAGCCGTAGGTATGTCATCTGCTCTGACAAAGACTAGCCCCAATGTGTTAGCTATTCTCCGCAAATTCAAAAATGGCATGAAAGTGTCTGGAGAAAACACTTGTATGCCCTTAGTAAACTGTGAGGGTCGAAGTAGGCAAGAAAAGGTCTAGTATAATGGCAGACGTGTGACGAAAAGGTTTAAAATGGCTCAAACAAATGGACTGGGATGGGCAGGAAGGAGGAATTCTTTGACTTTATGTTGGAAAATTCTGTTTCAAAAGTGATTTGTGCCATTGACAAAGCAGGTGTGAAAAAGAGAATAGAAAACAAGCCTTTTCATTAAGGACTGTGGAGAATCAGGAATCCTTTTTACTTGTGATCTGATCACAGGTTTCGGGAGGAAAAAAAGCCAGTATATGAACAGACTTCAAATGTGCTTCACAGCTTCCACGTGCATGGTAAGACAAATGATAGTGATGATTATGATGAGCAGAAACGAAGAGAAGAAATATATAAAATCGGCCAGTTAAAGTTGTAGATGGATATGGATATGGTGCTTTTTAAATGCAAGTTCCTTGCTTCCAAAGCTCACAGGCCCAATGAAGCCACGTCACAGCAGAAAGGGAGAGGATATGCAATTATTAAGGAAGTAGGGAGGATGCCTGGAAGGTGCCTGGATCAACCACTGTTATTTCTAATTAACTCAAATGACAAGAAATATAATTTCACCTCCAAAGTAAGCTACATAGGCAAGAAAATATGGTTGTGTGAGGACACATTTGTTTATGTTCACTTCACAATACAGATGTAGCTTCCACACACCTGACAAGCTGTCTGCGTGGCCTCGGGTGTTACTAAGGTTGGCTATCCCTTTTAAAGGAAAAGTAGGTCAGATTTATTCCTGAGAGAGACACAAACCTGGACAGCCTGTCCATTTAGTGACCGATCAAGCTGAACAGTCAGGAATGCAGATGCAGTCAGCTCGTCTTTTGTGGCATGTGTTCCTTGCCTGAGAGTGAAGAAGAAAAAAACAATCCAAAGCTGAAACCATTTCAGAATGGTCCAGGACACATGTTTCAAGCAAAGCACACAATTAGTAAGTCTGCTCTTATAGATTTTATGTAGGTGTGGGACTGGATAGAGCCACTTTCTCCCACCCTTCCTTTCTCTCTCTTTTCCCCTCACCAGTTCCCACAATGCTGTGCAGCCCTGTCAGGCTGTGGGCAGCCCCACTCCAAACCATGGACTAAAAATTAAGCTATTGACCACTGGGAGGGTTGGAGCCAGTGAGTGGATGGGGAGGGACCAGGATGGGGAACAAGCCTGGGAAGGTGAGGAGGGACAACAAAAGAAAAGGCAGAGGACAAGCAGTAGCAGGAAGCTGGGGCAGAGACAGACATCCACAGAGTGCAGGGTTGACACCAGGACCATCTTGGAGGGGAGACAGCTGCTTCCAAAAGGAGACTTTTATAGATACACAGCCCAGAGCCTACAGGACAGCTCAGACCATGCTGCAAGTCCCACCTGTCTGAACTCTCTATGTAGGTGCCAGTATCAGAGCACACAGACAGACTAGAGTAGCTGGGGCAGAGACAGACATCCACAGAGTGCAGGGTTGACACCAGGACCATCTTGGAGGGGAGACAGCTGCTTCCAAAAGGAGACTTTTATAGATACACAGCCCAGAGCCTACAGGACAGCTCAGACCATGCTGCAAGTCCCACCTGTCTGAACTCTCTATGTAGGTGCCAGTATCAGAGCACACAGACAGACTAGAGTGACGGAGGCGGAGGGGGGGGGGGGGGGGGGGGGGGGGGGGCAGGAAAGGGGAGAGGAGATTTTCATTGGCCCAGGCCAGAGTCGACATGTCTCTAGCCAGGCATGCTGTGGATGGGGTGCTGCTTTGCTGTGCCAGGGCAAGGGAGTCTCTCTAATCCTCACTTAGAGCTCCTGACCTGCACCTGCTTGGGGCTCTGCTTAGGTTAGATAAAAGTTAAGTGTGGTGCTTACTCCAGGGGTTAACTCTGACCCCTGGGAAGGAGGGTTGGTGTTTGTGCAGGGACATGTGGCCGGAAGCTGGAACCGCTTCTCCAGCCCTGGGACCGTTGGCCACATCCCCCATCCTCTGACATATGTGAGTCATCCCACTGCTTTCAGAGGGAACACTCACAAACAGTCAGAAGATCTACTAGATATTTGGGAGGGTCTGTCTGTCTGTGCATCCACCATCTGTTTGTTCAAGAACTCCTCCTAAATGGTAAGAGCTAGGACCATCACATTTCATATGCAACTTCCTCTTATCACAACATATAGCAAGGTAAGGGTTTGATTGTGCCAGGAAAATGGCATGTGCCTGGAATGGGCTTGCTCCTCATAAAACCATACAGAAAATAAACAATTACCAGGCAGTTGAAAGGGTCTGGCGGGGGGCCCCCTCTCTTCCATCCGGGACTGCCCCACCCCTCAGCTAGGTACCCTTTAGGGAGAGCAAGGGATGGATCTTCATAGGGGGACGTTGCTGGCTGCTCCCTTTCACCAGGAGTGAGGGTGAAATGTGCAGTTTGTGGCATTCCTCACTCTGGCTGGGGAGTACAGGAGGCACATGAACCTAGACCTGCCCCAAGCAGAGGACGTGCACCCCTTCCTTTGGCTGTGTCTTCTGGAGGTACAGCAGTCATGGACAGGCACTTCTCACCTGGTCCCAAGCTGCTGCAGTGACTCTCCCCAGAGCAATGATTTAAATGAAGCATGTACATTTTCATTTTATCCCCCCTGCCCTCCCCCAAAAGAATTAGTGAATTGAGTTAGGGACCCAAGCAATGCTGGGTAAATTTTCTAGTAATACAAAATTTATGAACTGAACCAAACATACCATGTGTAAATGATTTGCCCTTTATGATAAGTATAAAGTATAATGTAGCAGTCACCACCAAAAAATTCTCCATATGTCTCAGGCTCCACGGGGACTCTGCCATTACTTTCAACACGCCAGACCTAAGAAATCAAAGACATCACTAGAAAACACTGGAATTCATTAGCATTCAACTTGAAGCTGAATACCAGGGCAGTGGCTAAATGACTTCTAATGTTCCCTTCTTGAGCAACACATGTTTTCTGTCGCCAAATACTAGGTTAACTTTTATGCCATCAGAAAAGATCATGTGATCCTGAATGACAGAGACCGAACCGTTTTGCTGTGAAGTAGCCCCAGCTCTGCCAACTAAATGAATGGTAGTGAGAAGCCAATTAGAAAATATGGTGCTTCCATCTTGATATTTTGAAGTGACATCATGTAACATCACTTAACATTAATCCAGTCACATTCCTATCCTTTACCTCATAGGTTAATGGTACAACATTAATGAAATAGAATGATAAGTAGCAACAGCACTAAAACACCCCAAGGGAAAGGTACAGTGCACTTCAGACAAGCATCCACTATCCTGCCCTTGATTCTGTATAGTTCAGTTCTAAGTTGCTGGAGGCTAAGAATACTATTCAACTAGGGCTAAGCCCAGAGAACTGAAACAGCAGGCAGTGTACAAAGTAGTCCAATAAGGAACAAGAGGAATACTCCCCACAAGTTGCAGAGCTGCCCTGTTTGTCCAATGACTAATATAGTTTTCTATTGTCCCCAGTGTATCCTTACCATGGAGGCAAGGACTTGAGGGTTTCCATGTTGCCCTTTCCTAGTCCTGTCCCCACGGTTAGACAATGGAGCCCACTGATACTGCTTCTGTGAGGGAACTCTCTAGCCATTATTTGAAGACCACCTTTAGAGAACAGACCTGGTGTCTGAAGGACTCACAGCTGTAGAGTTAATGGGTAAAATTCCAATTGATTTTTTACTTCTGAGATCTCACTCATACTCTTTAGCAAGCAGGCTTTCAAGTAGAGAGAAGGGAGAAGTGTCCCTTCAACCTAAGTGGCATATTTAAAGTGTTTGTTTCAGACACATTATATATAGGTTTAGAAGGATTAGATTTTCATTGGTAAACGTGATAACCATCCATTCACTGTATATGCACACAATGTCAAAAATATTTCGGTCAACAATACTTGATATTTACAGATATGCAAAGTAGAAAACATGCTGCTTGAGAACTTATCAGAGTTTAATTTAAAGCTATTTCTATTACACATTTTGCTATGTGACATTGACAATGTGTTTTATCATCTCAAATCCTCCTATCATTGTCTGACCCCTCACAGTAATTCCTAGCAATTGAGACAATGAAAGTAGACAAAAATTGAAAGTGTTTAATACCCATAATTCTATGCAACAATAAAAATTAAATAGATAGAAAAGTTTAAAAATGCTTAAATAGAAGCAGTGATATCTATTACAATCATTAAAAAACAAAAATCAAATTCTTTCACGCCTAAGCGAGGGCAGTAGAGTGTTCTTCTTTTTGGTGCTGTCTACGCCGCAGGAAGTCAAAGCCGAATTAAGCAATTTTGATTTCAGTGACACAATTAATGTAGCTGAAGTTGTGTACCTTAATTCAACTTTAGCCCTGCTGTGTAGACGTACCCTAAGTAAGAGAGGTGGCAGTCCTACTTTTGTACAGAATGACTAATACAGAATTTTTCATGGGCATCAAAGCACTTTAGTGAAGAACACCTATACAGCACACAGATGACACAGGGATTCATTCCCTCTCCACCAAAAGGCTTTTGAGATGTGAAGCTATAGATTTTGCAACAAAACTACTCTACAGTTTAAACCTGCAAAATAAGAATGCACTCAGTAAAAATAAGAGAATGTAGGTAGCTGAAATAGATATATTTTAAAATGACAAAATTACCTCCACTTTTCCTGAACCATCATCAACCATATTGTACTGGGCAGCCATTTGTGGAGATTCATGTAACTTGGTAGCGTCAAATTCAATCTGCTCAATTTTAGCCACTCTTTCTGTGACACAGACTTTCCCAAAGCCTTCACTTTGATATTTATCCTTCCAATCTCTGAAGAACTGTTTGAAGATTGGTGTTTCTCCTCCTTCTGGAAGCACTTGAATCTGCAGGTAAACGAGAGATGGGGGAAGGGAAAGCCAGATATTACTAGTAATACTGTCCCTTTTGTGAAGTAAAACAGCCTTGTACCCCCAAGGCTGGGAGGTCTGCAGCCACCACTGTGAGGAGGAAACAGAGTTATGGTGGTTGGAAACTCTCTTCTGAGGGGATGGAGGCACCCATCTGTCACCCTGTCATCTTAAAAGGTATGCTGCCTGCCAGGGGCCCGTATCCGAGATGTTACATGGGGAACTGTTGAGGATTATCCATCCCTCTGACTACTACCCATTCTACTCATCCAAGTGGGCATTAATGATACTGCAAGGTGTGATTTTGAACAGATTGAGTGACTACAGGGCTCAGGGAGTACGAGTGAAGGAGTATGAAGCACAGGTGATAGTCTTTTCTGTCCTTCCTATTGAAGGTAGGGGCCCAAGAAGAGACAGGTGCATCCTGGAGTTGAATGCCTGGCTGTGAAGATGGTATCACCAGGAGGGCTTTGGCTTACTTGACCTCGGGATGCTGTTCCAAGAAGAACTGCTAAGTAGAGACAGGGGTTCACCTTTCGAGGAAGGAGAAGCAAGTATCTGGACACAGCCTGGCTAACCTAGTGAGGAGAGCTTTAAACTAGGTTTGACGGGGGCAGGTGACCAAAGTCCAGAGGTAAGCGAAAAACATGGAAACCTGGAACATGGGTCAGAAATGGGAGGGAGCATGGGCTATAATAGCAAAGATAAAGGAGGGACATGGCAGAACTGGAAAGCAAAATCAAATCAGTATCTTAGATGCCTGTATACCAGGGGTTCTCAAACTTTGTAATACCACAACCCCCTAAAATGCTAAATGAATGTGTGACCCCACTGTCACTGCCCTGGGTCGCTTCCTCCCCCCTTCTCACCAGACCCCTTGCCTTCCTTGGGTTTCTTCAAGGTGTTTGTGGTCCTCAAACCCCCTGGTGGTCGCCCTTCCCCCCTGCAGGCTCCTTCCCCCCGTCTCTTTCTCCTCTGTGCCTCTTTTCCGCTCCGCATCCCTCCTTCTCCTCCTCTCCTCTCCCATGTCTCTACTGCCTCCTCCTCTTACCCGCACATTCCCTTATTTACCTCCAGGTCCTCTGCCGTGACCCAATTCCCCAGCCTGCTGCCTGGGGAAGCATTTGGTCGCCTGGCAACCGTGCCTCACGCGCCGGTCTCACGCTCCCGCTGCCTTGCCTCCTGCTGCAGCTGAGCCGCGCTCCTGGAGTCCCACAGCCCCGGCCACGCTGTGCGGCTTGCCAGAGGCTGCCTTCCACCACCCTGTCGCTCTTTGCAGCCCAGAGGAGAGGGTTCACAAGTGAAAAACCAAATCCAGCTGCGACCCCTCTCTAAGTTGCTTGCGACCCCGACCCACAGTTTGAGAAATGCTGTTGTATACAAATGCAAGGAGTATGGGAAAGAAGCAGAAAGAACTTGAAGTGCTAATAAATAAACACAACTATGACATCGTTGGTATCACAGAGACTTGGTGGGATAATACTCATGATTGGAATATTGGTATAGAAGGGTACAGCTTGCTCTGGAAGGATAAGCAGGGAAAAAAGGGAGGAGCTGTTGCCTTATATATTAAAAATGTTTACACTCGGACTAAGATGGAGATGGACGTAGGAGAGTCTTGTTGAGAGTCTCTGGGTTAGGTTAAAAGGGGTAAAAAAATAAGGGCGATGTCATGCTAGGGGGCCTAAACAGACCACCTACTCAGGCAGAAGAGGTGGATGAAGCTTTTTTAAACAACTAACCAAATCATCCAAAGCACAGGGTTTAGTAGTGATGGGAGATTTCAACTAGCCAGACATATGTTGGGAAACTAACAGAGCAGGGCACAAATTACCCAATAAGTTCTTGGACTGCATTGGAGACCATTTTATTTCAGAAAGTTGAAAAAGTTACTAGAGGGGAAGCTGTTCTAGATTTGATTTTAACAAATAGAAAGGAACTAGTTAAAAATTTGAAAGTGAAAGGCAACTTGGGTCAAAGTGATCATGAAATCATAGAGTTCATGATTCTAAGGAATGGTAGAAGGGAGAACAGCAAAATAGATACAATGGATTTCAGGAAGGCAGATTTTAGTAAACTCAGAGAGCTGGTAGGTAAGGTCACATGGGAAGCATGATTAAGAGGAAAAACAACTGAAAGAGTTGGCAGTTTTTCAAAGGAACATTATTAAGGGCCCAAAAGCAAACTATTCTATTGTGTAAGAAAAATAGAAAATATGATAAGAGACCATTTTGGCTTATCCAGGAAACCTTACAGGATCTAAAAATAAAAAAGGAGTCATATAAAAAGTGGAAACTAGGTCAAATTACAAATGATGAATATAAGTAAACACCACAAGTATGCAGGGGCAAGATTAGAAAGGCGAAGGTACAAAAAGAGTTAAATTTAGCTAGCAACATAAAGGATAACAAGAAGATATTCTATAAATATATTAGAAGAATGAGGAAGACCAAGGATAGAGTAGACCCGCTGCTCAGTGAAGAGGGAAAAACAATAAGAGGAAACTTGGAAACGGCAAAAGTGCTTAACGACTTCTTTGGTTCAGTTTTTGTCAAGAAGATTGATGGTGACAGGATGCCTAACACAGTGAATGCTAGTGGAAATGGAGTAGGTTTAGAAGTTAAAATTAATAAAGAACAAGTTAAAAATTACTTAGAAAAGTTAGATGTCTGCAAGTCACCAGGACCTGATGAAATGCATCCTAGAATACTCAAGGAGCTGATAGAGAAGGTATCTGAGCCTTTAGCTATCATCTTTGAAAAGTCATGGAAGTTAGAGGAGATTCCAGAAAACTGAAAAAGGGCAAATATAGTGCCCATCTATAAAAGGGAAGTAACAACAACCTAGGAAACTACAGACCAGTCAGTTTAATTTCTGTGCTAGAGAAGATAATGGAACAAGTAATTAAGGAATCCATCTGCAAACACCTGGAAGATAAGGTGTTAGGTAACTGCCAGCATGGATTTGTAAAGAACAAATCATATCAAACCAATCTGATAGCTTTCTTTGATAGGATAACAAGCTTTGTGGATAAGGGAGAAGTGGTGGATGTGGTTGGTGTACCTAGACTTGATACGGTCACTCATGACCTTCTTATCAATAAACTAGGGAAATACAACCTAGATGGGGCTTCAATAAGGTGGGTGCATAACTGGATGGATAACTGTTCTGAGAGGCTTTGTCTACACTGCAGGGTTTTTGCGCAAGAAGCTTTTTGCAGAAGAAATCTTCTGCAAAAACTTCTTGCGCAAAAGCACGTCCACACCTCGAAAGCGACGTGCTTTTGCACAAGAGAGTATCCACACTGCATGGACGCTCTTGCACAAGAAAGCTCTGATGGCCATTCACAGAATGACCATCGGAGCACCTGTTCTTTTTTGGATGTGCTATTTTTGTACAAGAAACCCCTGCTGCGCATCCACACACCCCTTTGTGCAGTTATTCCATGTAGAAAGAGGTATACCTATACCGCAAAAAGCCCTCTGTTCTGCCATTTTACTGTAAATTTTCTTGTGCAAAAATGCGCTTGAGGAATAGACACTCCACGGGTTTTTGCGTAAAAATAGCTGTTTTTGCACAAAAACCCTGTAGTGTAGACATAGCCAGAGAGCAGTTGTTAACGGTTCACAGTCATGCTGGAAGGGCACAACAAGTGGGGTTCTGCAAGGGTCTGTTTTGGGACCACTTCTGCTCAATAGCTTCTTCAATGATTTAGATCAGTGGTTCTCAAATGTTTTGGGCTCTAGAGCCCTTTTCATGTGTAAAAATGTATGCAGAGCCCCAGTGGTCCACTGATTGTATGTGTTGTACCTATCGACGTTTCCAGTTTGTCAACCTCACAGAGCCCCTGGAGATGTCTCATGGAGCCCCAGCGGCTCCGCGGAGCACAGTTTGAGAAACACTGATTTAGATGATGACAGAGTACATTCATTAAATTTACAGATGACACCAAGCTGGGAGGGGTTGCAAGTGCTTTGGAGGATAGGGTCAGAGGTACACAGGATGAAGTTTAATAAGGACAAATGCAAAGTACTCCCCTTAGGAAGGAACAATCCATTTCACACACACACAGAATGAGGAGCAAGTGTCTAGAAAGGAGTACTACAGAAAGGGATTTAGGGGTCATAGTGGACCACAAGCTAAATATGATTCAACAGTGTGACACTGTTGCAAAAAAAGTAAACATGATTCTGGGATGCATTAACAGGAGTGTTGTGAGCAAGACATGAGAAGTCATTCTTCCGCTCTACTCTGCACTGATTAGGTCTCAGTTGGAGTATTGTGTCCAGTTCTGGGTACCACATTTCAAGAAAGATGTGGAGAAACTGGAGAAAGTCCAGAGAAGAGCAACAAAAATGATTAAAGGTCTATAAAAGATGAGCTATGAGGGATGACTGAAAACTTAAAAGGGTGTTACAAGGAGGGGGGAGAAAAATTGTTCTCTTTGGCCTCTGATGTTAGGACAAGAAGCAATGGGCTGAAATTGCAGCACAGAAGGTTTGGGTTGGACATTAGGAAAAGCTTCCGGTCAGGGTAGTTAAAAACTGGAATAAATTGCCTAGAGAGGTTGTGGAATCACCATCACTGGAGATATTTAAGAGCAGGTTGGATAGACATATCTGTCAGGGATGAATTAGACAGTGCTTGGTCCTGCCATGAGGGCAGGGGACTGGATTTGATGATCTCTTGAGTTCCCTTCCAGTTCTAGTATTCTATGCTTTTGGGTGGCTGATGGTCCATTGACTGCAAATTGAGGGGGGTGGGAAGAGAGGGACTGGTCGGCAGGTTTGAGACCCTTTCAAATAACATGTGGCCATTGTGGTCTATGCCTCTCACCTCCAGTATAGGATCGCTGGTAATGTTCTCTATCTGCAGGTATCCAAAGAGACTATCAAGAAATTAAACCTAGTATTTGATGGAGTAATATGCCTGCTAATCATGTCACAGCATTTTGGGAACATATCACACCAGCTGTTTGCACTAAATATTGACTGGCTATCCACTTCCACACCCAATTCAAAGAGCTGCTCCTAATTTACAAAATCATGTATGGACCGAGCCTTGTTGCACAATAACCAATTGGGCACAATGTCTGACCAAACCTAGGGTCCACTTTGCCAGATCTAGGGACAGAGCTTCCTTGGGAGAAATCACACAGCTATGGAGCAAGTTCCTGGTGCAGAATAGGCTGACTTGAATCTGACTGCTTTTAACACACTATGTTCACCTTTTCTTCACAGAGGAGTTTTCTGTAAGTAGGGATAAAGATGTCTGACTCCACTTGTGATCCGATCCTTTAGGCAAGTTGTGATGGGAGAGAGTGTGTGGAGCAAGGATCCCATTATGGGGCAGTCCCACCTATGAGATACAATTTCTTGCAGTTGTTGTAGGTAATCTAAAAAATGAGGTGTGGAACTGAAGCCAAACACTGAATGAGTAAGGTGTGTACGAACTACCTTACTTCAAATGAATGAATGAGAAGTTTTCTACATTAGTGATCCCTTTCACTAACTCTCCAGACTTTTGGATACCTGTGTGTGCCAAACATTTGGGTATTTACCCATAACTACTTGTAGGCAATGTTAAGAGATTTATTTTAATCAATTAACACTCCCCCCCAAGCCTTAAAAACATGGTTGGCTACACTGATTAATAGCACCATCTGCAATTTCAACAACTGACCAAATTTTGTCTTGTATTGTTTATCTCACAAACATACTGCACCTGGGTGTTAGCAGGGTAGCTCATTTGCTGTATGAATTCTTCAGCGGTCTTCATGGCTGCCTTTCTCTCATTTGGGTTAGCATCTTTGCCTGATTAAAACAAACAGGACAAGATTACAGCAGGGGAAAGGGAAGACGCTTTCAGAAGGTGTAAAAGAAAACTCACTGGGAGGAGTTGCAGCTGAATGAGATATCCTTTAGCATCATTCATTCTTACACTTTGATCACCTCAAGGCTGTAGAATTACATAACTAATCTGAGGTTGGCAAAAAGATTCCCACTACATCAAACTACAAAAAATTGGATTCTTATGGATTTTGAAAGTGAATACAAATAATTTGTTCACTTTTTAAAAATGTATTTGATTGCATCAATGGCCCAGGGCCAAATGATTAATTATCATGATGTGGGCTGTGTTTAGAAAGGCTCATCCTGTGAAATCTCTTGTTACCAGCATTGTTGGAAGGATGCAGTGGTCAACAAGGCTGCTTTCCACACCTGCCAAAGCCCATTATCTCTGTTCCATTATTTGGTTAAATGAAACATGTTATTGGCCAGATCTGGGATGTCACAAGCCAACACTGTTCCTCACACACTGTTATTTCCTGGCTCCAAAGGTTTTCAACTTACCTGGAACTGTGCTGAATCCTGGCTCTGTTCCCCACAGTGCCATCAATAACAATAACTGCATGTTCAGGACCATATCTGAGCCCATGGAGCTGTTCTTTGGAGCCTCAGTATATTTGATTTTGAACTAGACAGTTGCTGAAGCAGCCTGTAGAGAGCATTGCTTTAAAGCGGTCTCCTCTGAATGCGGCTTTTGCAAGAAGGAAGGTGAGAAAAAGAGCATGGGGAAAAGCTTCAGAGAGGTAGCCGATACACCCAAGTCTCTGAATCAGGTTAGGCTTGTCTTCAGGTGCCTCAGGGAGAAACTGCCACCCATTGCAGCCTGCCTGGCTTCTATTCCTCCCTTTATATAGGCTCCAGCCTGGTCTTTAAAGGGATAGAGCCCTTTTCCCCATCGAAAAACTTAAAAACCAACTAATGGTCCTGCAGCACCTTAGGGTATGTCTACACTAGCCCCCTAGTTCGAACTAGGGAGGCTAATGTAGGCATTCGAAGTTGTAAATGAAGCCTGGGATTTAAATATCCCGGGCTTCATTTGCATCTTCCGGGGCGCCGCCATTTTTAAATGTCCCTTAGTCCGAACTCCGTGCCCGCGGCTACACGCGGCACGGAGTAAGTAGTTCGAATTAGGATCTCCTCGGAGTTCCACGGGGAGTAATGGTAGTTCGAATTAGAGATCCTAATTCGAACTACCTACTCCATGCCGCTTGTAGCCGCGGGCACAGAGTTCAGACTAAGGGACATTTAAAAATGGCGGCGCCCGGGAAGATGCAAATGAAGCCCGGGATATTTAAATCCCAGGCTTCATTTACAACTTCGAATGCCTACATTAGCCTCCCTAGTTCGAACTAGGGGGCTAGTGTAGACATACCCTAAGGTGCTGCAGGACCATTAGTTGGTTTTTAAGTTTTTCGATGGGGAAAAGGGCTCTATCCCTTTAAAGACCAGGCTGGAGCCTATATAAAGGGAGGAATAGAAGCCAGGCAGGCTGCAATGGGTGGCAGTTTCTCCCTGAGGCACCTGAAGACAAGCCTAACCTGATTCAGAGACTTGGGTGTGGACTGTAAGTTTGTGATCTGATAAGATTATTGTAATGATTCGCAGACCGAGAAACTGTTGAAAAGATGCCTGACCTGACAAACTGTTTGCTTGAATGGTCCCTGGGTTGAAGCCTTAGTAAAAGGGACACAATTTATATGTATTGACTTCCCTTGCCCCTGGTCTGTTAAAACAGAATCTATTGCTGCTCCACTTTGGGAAATTACAGATGGGACTAAGTGCTAAAACAAGACTGCAAGGGATTGACTGCATCTTCACAGAAGGTGATTGCAGCCCCGGTACAGGAGTGGGGACTGAGACAATTAGACTTGCTGGCTAATAAGGGTTATAACTGATTGTGTTGCTAACATAACTCAACAAAGAGAGGCTGCCCAGGGCAGCACCAGTGCCCCCCAACCATTCTCTATTTAAAACATGCCTAATATCTCCAGGTGAGATTGTATTTGGGTGAAGTGTTTGCAGTACCTTTTGAATTGGCTGCTGCGATGTATTATTATTTCTAATTCAAGTGCAACACATCAATGTTATTAAGAACTGTGGCCAGAGACCAGAACATCAGAACGGGATCTAATGGGAGCGCTAAAATCTGCCCCGCTCCAGGCAGTTCATCTATTCTTGATTTTCCAGTAATGTTCTAATACAAGGAAATGTACTGTTGTAAGCACCTATGTTGGCACAGAGAAATGTGTAAAACAAAGAAGCACAAAGGTAATGATAAACGTGCCTTTAATGATGTGTGACATGCTGCAATTCTGTCCAATGCTGGCCTTACAACCTCCCATTCATATCCACAAATACCGTGTGCCTGAGAGCAAGGTACACCTCTACACTCATTATCAAGCATACAACTTCTGGATTTTGTCCCTGATCATGATGATTTGCTGCCCACAACCAAGGCTCTACATGATTCTTTATGCTTTCTTCATAACCACTGTTCAGATCTTCTGTGCCAACCTAATAAAAGCACAAAATACACAGACTGGGTCTCATCCTTGTAAACCTCCTCAAAGTCAGGTGAGAAGTCTTTACCCACTGGCCCAACTGAGAAAGGACTGCGTAGGCAAGAAAGGATTTGTAGGATGCTGAGTTCAAGCCGTATGTAGCCCATATATGTACTCACATGTGCGCCCCCAGGTTTGGCAGCTTATGATCACTGAGAAGCAGTGTGGGTCATCTCTTACCTTTCCACACAAAGATCTTCCTTGCAGCACCATAGTCCAAAATGAAACACTCTTCAGATAAAAGCATAGCCCTCAAGAAGGGATTTTCCTCTGCTACCACCGATACCTTCATGGACCCACTTGCATCTGATACCTGATGAAGTTATAATTTCAGATTTAAATCAAACCAAGCTTTTATAGTCAGATCACTTTGCCCTCCTCAAACTACATTAGTTATTGCTTTACTAACAATCCTGTATAATGATTTCATAGAATCCATATGTTGCTAGAAAGTTGTGATAGTTGTGAGAACTTTAAAAAAAATGGTTTCATTTCACTTTATGTCCAACAGAGGGAGCTATGCTATTAGCTTTGTGATCTCTATCAGCAGCCTTTTCTTACAATCTTATTCATAAGTCACTTTCTACCCCACCCCTGCTCAAATACATATTTTATGATTACCTTATATAATTTAAAAATATGTTGATCCTTCACAATTGATAATTGTGGCTAAAACACCTACACTCATGAGATACTCTTATGCAATGGGAATTAGTCATTTAAAGCTTGATTTAGCTACTGATTCATACACGCACAGCATGCACACACAATTAAAGACAGGTACAATCACATGCAGGTGCAAAAGGGGAGGCTGGTGTAAAGCCCCTCCTTGGATCAGGGCCAGTTTTGAACAGCATAGTTAAAAACATTCCCTAGACCAAATCCTTGGCTAGTGTAAATCATTGAATATAACTGAGCTTAACTGATTTACAACGACTGCAAACTGCTGGAAATAATAGGTGTCTACAGCCTAAAAACAGAGGTTAGCATCTCAGGGACTTTGCATGTACAAATGTCACTGCTTCTGTTTATCTAGCCACTTAAGAACTAGAAAGATTTGGTGCTTACCATATACAGTTTAGCAATTCTTCTGTTTGTGACATCAGCTGCTTCATCGTCATTATCATCACCCTCACGAAGTGGTGGCTTAGCTCCTAAAACCTGTACACCAGAAGAAAAACAACTTCATTGAAAAGGCAATATGGATATCTCAGTAAAAGCACTCACATGTTTTGAATTAAACTGGATTATCTCTCTCCATTATTATTCACAGATTATAAATCCCATCTGTTGGCTGGCTTGTTTGCAAACATACAGGCATGTGTGAACCACTGTGTCAGATCTGCATCTGTACGATATGTTGCTATGTGCTGTCTTTCCCACATGCCAGCTCCTTGATTTTGGGCACATTGGGAAAGGGATTCATTATGAGGGTCAGGCAACTAGATTATGTAGAACCAATTTAATGTTTCACCTTCTTGCTTCTTTCTGTTTATTTCCTTACATTCCAGTTTTGGTCATTCATATTTTGGAATCACCAGACACTCAGGATACCATGATGTTTGGATACTAAAGAACAGATATCCACTTATTATTCAAACAAATTCACAACACTTCATTAATAGTCCAGGTACTCAAAGAAAAAAAAGGCAGGTGACATAATGACTTTTATTGTACCAACACTTCCCTTGGCGGAAGAAGCAAGTTTTCAAGCTTCCCAGAACTCTTCTTTGGGTCTGAGATTATTGTAGCCATGCTGGGCTCAAGATATGAGAGAAACGAAGTTGTGAAGTAATATTTTTTACTGGACCAACTTATGTTGGTGGAAGGTACACGCTTTGGAAGGTTCAACAGTCCTCTTGAAGAGTCCTGTGAAGCTCAAAAGCTCGTACCTTCCACCAACATAAGTTGGTCCAGTAAAAGATATTACTTCACCGACTTTGTTTCTCTCATATCCCGAGCCCAGCATGGCTACACTACAGGTTTTAACTGGCTTTTTGACTATTAGGCTCTCTTCCTAATAACTCTCATTTTAATAAGATTTTTCTCTTTTTGATTCACACATGACCACATCCAGTAAGCTTTACTTAGGCAAATAATTGCAATGGGATCCTTGTATGAGTAAGGGCACCAGGATCTGGCTCAATATGTGATAATAAACTATTAAAATCAGATATAAGGTCAGTAAAAACATTTCTGTTGACAGTAGATTTGCATTGAGCCATGCTAAAACATTGTAAATATTTGATTACAGGGATGCAGCACAAAGCGCACAGTTGCAAAGAGTTTGGAGGAAAAATACCATAAATATGTAATAAATATCATGAGCCATCTGTTTGGTTTTCTAGCTCGGCAATATTATGCAAGCTGGACGTGACTGTCCCAGGTTTACCTCTACTTCAATCAAACTGGTTAAACCCCAAGAAATCAAAGTTCTCAGCCTTTGAGAGATGTGTATCCATTAGCATTTCAACAGGTAACAACAGTGTTTACTCTACAAATTTACTACTGCAGATTTAATATTTCAGGTAAACTGGAGTAAATTTTGGTGTACAGGTCACGTAGCTGAACGATACATTATAATCAATGAGAATATACGACAGCAACCAGAAGAAATGCTTTGAAAATGCTCCTCATTGTGCACTTTCACTTAAAGTTAGAACCATCCAAAGCCCTATTGGCTTTTTTACAGAAAAGTCAGACAACAACCTGGCAGCAGGCACATTTCTTTTTATAAGTAGATATGGGATATATCACCAGCTATGCAATAGCCTCCTGATATACTAAGAGTTTGCAACAAACACAACCAAGGGGCTGACAGAATTGCCAGGTCCCATGGCAAGGTGTGGGAGGGCAGCTTTGTGCTCCCAGGAAGGGCAGGGCCTTGAGCAGAAGGGGTAGAACTGGGGTAGCCAGCCCTCAGCACTGCCCAGACCGCACCCCTCTGCCCAGTCAGTCCTTCAGTGCTGCCCAGTGTTCTGTCACTGATTTAAAGGGCCCATGACTTATGCCTTCTTGGTCTCTACCTCCGCCCTGGTTGGTGGGCCTGAACACAACGATGGTTCGATTAAGATACAAACCCAACTGTACTGAGAGACGTGGCTGCAATGTGGTTGCCTGTAGTATGGTTAAAGCAGATTTTCATCTGGTCACAAAGATGGGAACTATCTGTAGCAGCAGGGGTGGGTAATAAAAAAATGGCAGCCTGCCAGCGTTAAGTTCTTGACAGGCTACCACCACTATGTTTACCTGCACCTCTGCAGGTATCAGATGATCGCAGCTCTCATTGGCTACAGATCACCATTTGCAGCCAATGTGGGCGGTGGGAAGCGACAGGGTGGATAGGGACCCCACATCGTTGCTGCTCACATTGGCCATGAATGGTGATTCATGGCCAATGAGAGCTGCGATCATTCGATACCTGCTGAAGCAAAGATAAACAGAGGTAGGAGCCCACCAGGGGCTAATCCTATGGACTGGATCTAGCCTGTGAGCTGGAATTTGCCCACCCCCATGCTAGCTTTATAACTGTTAGTGACTTAGGAGCTAAAATGGCACCAAGCAGCTGCCCTTAATCTACAGACTGTGCAAAGCGTGTCAGCACCATTGCAAACATCCAATTCAAAGAGGAGCTGTGCATAACAAGTGCTAACCAGGGCCTAACAGCATGTGAGCAGAGTCAGATGAGCTCTCCTCCTACATTAAATAATGAGCTGGGGGGAAAGGCTTTAGGAACCAAATGTGTTTGCATAAATACATGTGTGCAGCATGATGGGAGCTTCTTTCCCAAAATGATGCCTTTTGACTGGCTGGTACAAGTTTGTTTGTTTGTTTTTTTCCAGTTTTTTTCTGTGAAATTATAGAACAACACGAATCATTCTTCAACTGAAACCTTTGAACTTCCTGCAATTTTAACATAAAGAAAAGACAACCACGGTTGTTCAATATGAGAACAGTCTGGAGTTGCATCAATAATAATTGAAAAGTACTTTACATGTCATATCTCTTCAGGAATTGTTGCTTGCACAAATGTCCTACACAGCTCAATAAACTTGTTTTGTATTCTGATAGACAGAAAATAGACTTACATGCATTTTCTGCTTTCTTGTGATTCACAAACATGCTTAACCTGGCCTAATAAAAGTGGGTCATACTTGCCAAGAAGCTCAAGTATACCAAGAAAGTTTCCATTTGTAAGATCACCGATAGTTTGACTGGAACCAAAGAAAGCCAACCCCATTCAGAAAGAAAAAGAATGACATTCAATATGTGCTCAAGGATTTTTTTCCAGTTATCAGTTTTTGTGTTTATTTCACTCAGGAGTATGTTTTCAATTGAACTGTCAGCTAGTGCTGCTCTGTTAGCTTACAGCTGAGCCGGATGTGGTTATTGTACACGAAGACATACAAGAAAAATCAGGAATACAAAAATCTCCTCTGCGTGAGATAACTAATTTAAAGGTCAAACTCACCCTCAGACCAAGCAAAATCACTTTACAGTAACAGAATCAATTATGACTTTCAAAACCTTTAAAGTATGCCAAGGCTGTAAACAGTGTTTCATAATGTAGAATCACTAATCACAGAAGCTACTCCAGTCATGCAGATGAAAACTCAGATGTAACTGAAAAATTGGCGAAGGTCCAAAGTCCCATGATGATTTAAATACTTTTTTTGAAGGTATATATAGCTTCTTTTGTTGTCTTGGTTATAACTGCAAGGTGTATAATAAATGGGAATGACGTGGTAGAAAATGTCAACATTTGAGGCCCCTTGGTCTCCTGAGGCCTGGGCCAAATGGCCTTCCTGGACCCCCTCTGATAGGGCCTGCAGAATAGAAGCCTTTTTTCTCCCAACTACCTCCCCCCCTGTCAGGCAGCATCCCCAAATGCAGCCACTAGTGCTGCTGCCATCCCTTACTGCCCAAAGGATGACTGGATTGAGTGGCTGTAGGGCTGTGCTGCTGCAGTGACTTACAGTGCACAGTCACTCTCACTGTCTGGTTCTCAGGCACTAGCACAAACCCAGCAGGGGAATGGTCAGATACCAGCAAACACCTCTTTTGACACTGGATGGTCAATTCACCAATAGCAGAATAAATATTTGATTGGTTACCCCCTGAGAAATCTACAATGCTCAGGACCGCAAACAGATTCACGCCCTTGGAGAAATAGAGGCAGGTTCAAGGTAAGGAAGCTTAGGATCCCAAGTCCCACTTCAGAGGTGACTTAGCAAAAGATTTTTAAAGGTATTTATATGCTTAAACAGGCATGAAGACACTTGAAAATAGGCAGCTGTGCATCTTGGCACATCTAAAAACCCCAGTGTCTTTAAGCACCTAAATATACCTTTTTAAAAACTGGCCTTGAGACACATTCAAAAAAGCGAAATTACTCACCTTGGTGCAGTAACTGTTGTTCTTCAAGATGGTGTCCCCGCAGGTGCTCCACTGTGGGTGCTGGGCTTGCCCCAGCGCCGCAGAACAGAGACTTGTTGTAAGCAGTCTTCGACCGGGCTATGCATGCGCCCCTGTGCTTGCAGTGTTTGCGCTATTTTCCTGTGCACGGTCCATCCAACCGCTAGTTCCTCGAGACTGACTCAGAGTCTGTAAGACACAAAGAAAAGCGGACTCCGAAGCGGGGAGGAGGGCGGCTAGTAGAGCACCTGCGGGGACACCATCTCGAAGAACGACAGTTACTGCACCAAGGTGAGTAACTTCGCTTTCTTCTTCAAGGATGTCCCCGCGGGTGCTCCACTGTGGATGACTGCGTAGCAGTAGCCGTCAGAATGGAAGAAGGGAAGCATGGAGTCCCTAATTATCTGCTGTGGAGAACACCGCATTCGCCACTTCACTGTCCGAGCGAGTGCCCAGTGATAAAGAATAGTGTCTAGCAAAAGTGTCGTGGGAGGACCACATCCAGGTTCCATGATGGTGGGATTGGGTCTCATGGTGGGCTTAAATTAGTGAGGCCCTTGAGGAATTTCTTTGTGGTGGGATGAGCGAAGATGGAAGCTCCCTCCACCAATGCCATTTGGAGGGATGTTCTTGCTGATGTGTAGCCCTCCTGGATGACCGATTTCAGTATAGACTTTGAGTCAGGTAAGTGGTCTATCAGTGAAGTCAAACGTGAGAAGGTGTAAAAGGTGTAATTGGAGCGGTGC